GTATTGCACCCCTCCGTTCGCGCCAAAATGGCGGGGATTTCTTGGTCGGTTTGTTTGTTTTGGTGCCCGACATCCTCCGCTTTCGGAGCAGATTTGGAGGATGTCCGGAGCGAGGCGCTTATGTTCGCCTCCAAGGGGTAGCCGCCAGTGGGGTATTGCACTCCTCCGTTATGGCGGGGATATCTCGAGCGGTTTGCCCGGTTTGGTGCTCGACATCCTTTGCTTTCGGAGCAGATTTGGAGGATGTCCAAAGCGAGGCGCTCATGTTCTCCTCCATCGGGGAGCCGCCAGGGGGTATTGCACTCGTCCGTTCGCGCCAAAATGGCTGGGATATCTCGAGCGGTTTGCCTGTGTTGGTGCCGGGCATCCTCCGCTTTCGGAGCAGATTGGAGGATGCCTTTGGCGAGGCGCTCATTTTCGTCTCCAAGGGGGAGCCGCCAGGGGGTATTGCACTCGTCCGTTCGCGCCGAAATGGTGGAGATGTTTCGAGCGGTTTGCCTGTTTCGGTGCCCGACATCCTCCGCTTTTGGAGCAGTTGCCGAGGATGTCTCAGGCGAGGCGCTGGTTTCAGTACTCCCAAGGGGGTGCGCCAGGGGGTATTGCACGGGCCCGTTCGCGCCCAGGTTGGGGGGATGTCTCAGGCGGTTTGCCTGTTTGGGTACCCAACATCCTTCTCTTTCGGACCAGTTGCCGAGGATGTGCGCGAGGGGCTACATCACAGGCCCGTTCGCGCCCAGATTGGGGGGATGTCTCAGGCGGTTTGCTTGCTTGGGTGTCCGAAAACGGTCTCTTTCGGATCAGTTTCCGAGGATGCCTCAAGCGAGGTGCTGGTTTCAGTACTCCCAAGGCGGGGTATATCACAGGCCCGTTCGCGCCCAGATTGGGGGGATCTCTAAGGCGGGTTGCTTGTTTGGGTGGCCAGCATCCTTCCCTTTCGGAGCAGTTTCCGAGGATGTCTCAAGCGACGCGCCGGTTTCAGTACTCCCAAGGGGGGCGCCATGGGGTATTGCACGGGCCCGTTCGCGCCCAGGTTGGGGGGATGTCTCAGGCGGTTTGCCTGTTTGGGTGCCCAGCATCCTTCCCTTTCGGAGCAGTTTCCGAGGATGTCTCAAGCGAGGCGCTGGTTTCAGTACTCCCAAGGGGGGGCGCCAGGGGGTATTGCACGGGCCCGTTCGCGCCCAGGTTGGGGGGATGTCTCAGGCGGTTTGCCTGTTTGGGTGCCCAACATCCTTCTCTTTCGGAGCAGTTGCCGAGGATGTCTCAGGCGAGGCGCTGGTTTCAGCACTCCCAAGGGTGGGCGCGAGGGGGTATTGCACGGGCCCGTTCTCGTCTTCACGGATGGATGTTCCTGACAGGTGTGCATAAGGAACGGAGGAGAAAGAGGAGGAGGACAATGAGGAGGAGGAGGAGGAGGAGGAGGAGGAGGAGAAGGACGGAAGGAGGAAGCAACTATTTCAAGTCGTCGTAGTCGTCGGCATCTCTCTCGGCCTCGTTTTCTACGTGGATTCGCTGACGCTTGGATATTGAAAAGGACAATGTCTTCTACCGAAGTTTGCCATCACTATGAGATGCACATGTGGGGATCTCCGCGTCGAATAATTGAATTGCAGACTGCATCGTGACATTGCGCTTTGTACCGCAACATGGTGTATCATGGCATTCCATAGCATAGGGCAACATGGCGCTGTAGCGCTGCATTTTCCTGGCCCATAGCTTGGCGACAGATCACCAGTCGACAGGTCGATGAGAGCGGAGGAGGAGGAATGAGGAAGAGGCAGGAGGATACAGAGAATATTGATTTCTTTCTTCATGACCGCCTTGTTGTCTCAATGCGGCCAGCACTCGACCAGCTAGAACCTAAGCGCGCGCGAAGCGCGCGCGGAGGGATCTACTTGAATTTTACAATGGTCACTCCGAGAGCCATGAAGGACCCGACGCGGACCTCTCTCACCAGGTCGGGCAGCAGTTGAATGCAGAGATTGTGATTTCATTATGTTGTGTGCATGATCGCACCAGACAGGAGAATCGACCATACGTGAGCATGCGATTCGGTCCCTAGTATACGGTAATACTACAGTTGACGAACTCGCCAGTATTGCAGCTGAAGAGCATCGAGTGCCCAAGCAGATCCGAAAGGAGATACATATTGTTGATACTAAAGCCTATCTTGTCCGCATGCGCCTCTTGAAGACAACTTTGGAGGCCCTAGGAGTTCGAGCGAGCCCGGAGAGTAGAAGAGCAGAGTGCCCCAGCAGGTAGGAGACAGCCGCGTAAGGCCAGAGTGCAACCTGTCAAGCCCCCTGCCCCAGCACAATGCGCAGCTTTCGCCTCCGCTCATAAGTTGGATGAGACTGGCCGTAAGTACATTGTCTTTAAATGATCCGCTACTATTGCCACTAAAATAGACTTTACATATAATAACATGTTTAATCTCATCAACATCGATGGCACATATATGAGACCCGCCCTGGGTAAACAGGTACATGTAGTGGGGGGTGGATTCATTTAGCCTATCGTCCGAGGTTCCATGCTGGGCTGGAGATACGAGTTTGCTCTCAATGCGGTCTGTGCATCTCCCATGAGACTGGGAAGCTAGCATCCGTTTGCGACCCCCCATCCACCACAGGATGTGAGTACTGACGTCGTATCCAGTTGGACCTATGGCCAAAGGTTCCCAGCAGAGCTGAGAAGGACCAGAGGAGAGGGCAGAAGTACCCTCAGTAGGTGCAGGCGGCTTTCACACATGTATGTATGTATGTATGTATGTATGTATGTATGTATGTATGTATGTATGTATGTATGTATGTATGTATGTATGTATGTATGTGTGTGTATATGAATGTATGTCTGTCTGTCTGTCTGTCTGTCTGTCTGTCTGTCTGTCTGTCTGTCTGTCTGCCTGTATTGCATATACAGTTCCGCGATCAGGCAGAGTCTCCAGAGTCTCCCTCCCCCTTCTCTTCCTCCTCCTCCTCCTCGCTTCGGTGGCATTGGGAAGAAAAGGGGAGGGATGGACGATAGAGGAGGAGGGGGAGGAGGAGGAGGAGGAGGGAGAGGAGGGAAGGAGGGAGGGAGGGATTTTTTTGATTGCTTCTCTGATTCAACCGCTGGCTGGCCAGACTGAGGGCGGCACCCGCAGCAGGACTCGTCAAGACTATTGCATAGGCGAAAATCCATCAGGGCGCCAAGGTATTGGGCGCAGGCGTTGCTGCGTTCTCATATGTGATGTGTGAAGCCAGTATCGCTGAACGAAAGAGCAACGATGAGGCGAGAAGACAGGCGGCGACAGGCAATCGCGGGTCCCGACTTTCTCTCTGTTCGGAGCTCTGGACGAGGCGGCGCACAACGGGGGGTCAACGGGCGGACGATGGATGCAAGAGAGAAGCACACATCGCAAGCACGGCGGGCGACAGAACAACGTGCAGCAGCATGCGACGGCGCAACGATGCTGCACTCAGCAGCCTGACGGGGTCTACCGGGGATCGCCTGTGTGGTCATGCATGCCATGCTAGAAAAAAAAAACACAGGCCCGTCCAGACCCTCGGTTACTCTGGAAACGGCTCGATACTGCGAGTCCATGCAGCAGCAGCGTGCAGGCACATGCGACAGCGCAACGAGCCTACACACACGGGCTGGGCAGGGGGCCGATCGAACAGCCCTTCACCAAAGGCTGGGTCACTCGTCCAAGGGACAGCTTCGAGCAACCGACGTGCGCGTCGCTCAGCTCTCCTTGTACGTGCCAGTGCCCGATTTCGGGCAAGACGGGCTCGGATCTCATCAGAGAGGGGGAGGGGGGGAGGGCGGAGCAGGAAGAGTTGATGCAAGATCAGGCTGGGGCGGACTGGCAAAGAGTTCACGAGCATCAAGCTACTCCTGCTCATCATCTGCCTCCGGGGGCCCAGGGGACCGGGGCGTGGCCGCCGGGTCTAAGCCCCCCTTTGGCGAGGCGGACGCACTCTTTGCAGCTGGCGGGGTGGGGAAAGAAACGATTGGACTCTGGGTCTACTCGCGTGACACGAGCGGAACGAGAAACAAAGTCAGGTGCCCATTCCCTTCTGTGTCCCTGATAAGGAACAGTGCTTCACGGATATCCTGCCCCTCCCCCATATCCACAGGCAGCTCGTCGTCAGCACACTGCGTCGTCATATGGGCCATGGTGTCAACCATGCTGACGGCAATGCAGCGGCAGAGATTTGTGGGGTAGGTCTTTTTCTTTGCCGTCCTCCATTCCATCCGTGAAACGTGGAAACCCATCAACGTTTCGTGTCCTCCCTGCCCGTGTGAGCACTGACCTCTTCCAGGTGTATCCAAGAGCCTCTAGTGGAGTCCAAGAGCCTCTGGTGGAGTCCAAGGGAGGGGGGGAGGGAGGGAGGATGGAGAGGAGGAGGAGGAGGATCAGGAAAGCGAAGAGCGAGGAGCAAGGAGCAAGGAGCGAAGAGGAGCGAGGAGGCGAGGAAGGATCGAGGATATGCGATGCTCCCCCCTTCCGATTCCTCTCCCCCTCCTTGTTCTCCTCGACCCTCGATCCCCGCAAGTCCCCCCCTCCCCCCAAGGCCGTCGCCGCTCGCCTGCTGGCCCGCACCCCCGCGGTGGACGCGGGCGAGGACGTCAGGAGACGTTTCGGCCGTTTGATTGTTTGGGGAATCGCTCCTCCATTTCTTTTTCTTCTTCTTATTCATAGTTCTATCATTATTAGGGTTATTTCTATTACTGTTAGCATGCTCATCATTCTCATTCATACCATTAACACCATCATTATCACCATCATTGGTATTATTAGAGTTCTTCGTATCATGCGTACTATTGGTATTATCATTCCTCCATCTACTCTTCCATAGCCATGTTGGCTCAAGGGGGCGCAGCGGCGTGCAGCCATGGCTTCTGGCGTGGTGCCTGCACGAACTCCATATTCGTGCCGACCTCATTCATCAGCGTAGGCCTCGGCTTCAGGCTTGGAGGCTTCGCGGTGACCTTCGGCGATTCGGTCATTTGTTTTGACGATGGTTGCCGAGCAGAGCGCGGACCTGTCCAAGGAGGCGATTGGCAACCTGACGGAGCCGCCGTGCAAGAAGTACGAGCGCCTGCCACCTCGCGCACCACCGAGACGAGACCGTGCAGCGGACGAGACCTGGCGTGTGTGTGTCCTGTCGCCACGGGCAGCAAGGGCATGGAGCAGGTGGCGAATCAGGAGGCGAATCAGGAAGACAGCATGGGTGGCCAGTCCGTGGCGGAGCATGCCCAAAGCGCACAAGGCTTCGCTGGCGGCCCAGCTGGATGGACTTCGGCCGACGTCGAAGCACCACAAGCAGGAGCCCCACTTGGCTACAGCATCGGGAACGGCCCCGAAATGCCGCAAGGTGCTCACGGAGATGGACAGGCAGTACTACAGGATGTAGCTCGAACGAGAGCAAGACGAGATGCGCATCTCGTCCGATCTTTCGCCGGAGCAGCACCTCGAGAACAACTACCAGGATATGGGTCTTGGGGCAGCTGCTCGACTGCGATCTCGAGCTAGCCTGACCTTCCTTGGCAAAGGGGGTAATAACCGTTGCGGAACAGGCGTCGCAGCTGAGCTCATTGGATCCTGGCGAACATGAACAGGAAGCCAAGGTCTAAGGGGAGGACCCTGAGGAGGTGCTCACCGCCATGGCGCAGGTCGACAAGGAGGAACCCCAGTACAAGGGCTCGCTGGTGGCGGATACTACTGCGTGCAGGGAGGACACCGACTCGATGACAGCGCATCCCTCGGAATTGACAACGCGGCGGTGGAGTCGGAAGAAGGTGGTCAACACCGCAGAGGGCGAGAGGCAAAGGCGCGTCAAAGGGGCCAGGACAACGGCAAGAGCAAACGCAAGCAGCGGGGCCATGCGGACTTCTGCTGGCTCCTCGCAGCCAGGTCATGACATCAGCGCGGTCGAGCTGGTTGCCCTGGCGAGACGGGCGCCCTGCGTTCTATTTCCCAGATGCGATCAAGGCGCCCGTGGTGCAGGTCATCTTCGCTGTGTAGCTGGAGGGCTCGGAGTGATTGAGTCTGACGGCCGCTTCCGAGGCAGCCCGGCGCATAGGCGCGGCCGCCGCGCTCTAGCTCCTGCCACCCCAGCCCCTCGGATTTCCTGCTGCCGTTGGGCGTTCGCTTGTGGTTTCTAACGTCGCCGTGCTGGGTTCCCCTCGTGCTTCGGCGAAGGCCCGGGGTGCTCGCCCTTGGTGGCAGGCCGTGGAGATCTGGGCGTACCATCAGCACCCTAAGCACCATCCTTCATCTCATCCCTCGCCCTCCTCATTTTCCATTTCCTCTTCCCTCGCCCTCCTCCTCCTCCCCTCCTCCTGCTTTCCCTTCTCCTCCTTCGCCTCCTCCTCCTTTTCCCCCCCCCTCCTCCATTCCTCCATCTTCTGCGACTACTGCGACGACGAGGAGGACGACGACTACTATTATTCTATAGGCTTACGCCACATCCGCCGACCCCTCGTATTTTTAGATTCCGCATCTGGTGCGTTCAGAGAGCTCTAGGCTTTCGGTTTTCTGCGCCCGGAGCTCCTTTTGGAGGTCTGGGCGCCCGCCGGCTGTCGCCCAAAACCGAATTGCAGCGCTCGCAGCGCCTTGAGGCTGACTGGCCCCATGATGGCGACCCGGACAGAACATCTAAATCTCGTTTGTTTTTTTCCTCATCGATGCTGGTGGCGACACGCGCGCGGTCGCTGATATTCGCATCCGCAATTCATTGTTGCACCCGCAGGGTTAGATTTGCTCCTGCGCGCGCTGGGTTCTTCGATCTGCTACGGATATCCAAGCGCCCGCTCGCAATGGAAGTTGGTTTTCGGCCTTGTTGTTCCTCGCAAGGCATTGTTGTTATTGCAAACGGTTGTTCTTGTTGCACGCCGAGGTGCTCGCGTGCTATTGTTGCGTCCGTATCTCCCGTTGCTGCTTTGCACCGCGCAGAGTCCACCACAATGCATAGCGCCATCTAGATCGTCTGTCACATGGGTGATGGTTCAGGTTGGAAGCAGCAGGTGCGGGCCCCATGCGGGGCCCTGCAGGAACGCGACCGCACGCAAGTTGACGCCGTTGCAATGGTGGCCGTTCGGACCAAGGCTGTTGGCGCTGCATCGACTCCAGCGCAGAAGGGTTGGACGCTTGGAACCTGCAGGTGGTGAAACGATGAGGGGGTTTAATCGGCTACAAGTAGGTAAGCCGCATGAGGGTCGCCCGTCGTTCGTCCGTCGTGCGGCGCTAGTGGGTAAGTCGCCCAGGCCCGCGCCGTCGTTCGTCGCGAATACCACTTGTCCTGGGGGCGCGCCACTCGTTGTACCTCGAAGTCAACCAGTCGTGGCGCGCGTTTTCCGTCGTTTGCCGTCGCTCGGGCGAATGGGATTCCAATGGGATCCCCATAGACCTCCAGTAGGACTTGCATTGGGGTTCCGGTAAGTGTTTTGGAACAGTGCCGCCGCTATTTGTTTAAAGTGGTTGATATGTTGCGAATTGCTTTTCGTTGTTTTTTTGCCGGAGTTGGTTTGTGTGGGTTGGTTCGCGTCGCCGTTTTTTTTCGTATCAGTGGGTAAGTGATTGGATTTGTTGTTGTTTTGTCTGCGTCGGTTTTGTTTGACTCATGGGTTAGATGTAAATAAAAAGGGAGTGTTGTGTTTTTAACTAAGTGTAATCCAATATTTATTTAATTGCTCACGCGTTTGAAGTTAGTACTTTGGGTTTCGTTGGCTGTTCGTTTGTCGTTGAAGCAAAGTAGTTAATTCTGGTATTTGATTTTGTCGTTCGTTTTTCGGAGAGGGTAAGTATGTATCCACGAGGTTTGTTGTTTGTCGTTTACTCAGGGACTTAACTATCACGATATTTGAGGTTGTTCGTCGTTTTTCATGCGATGTAACTTGAATAGCTTAGAGACCCCTCTCATGTGAAACGGCGGTATAACCAAACATGCGGCACGAAGCGTTGCAATGGCCTCCGCGAGTTCAGCCCCATCTTCTGGCCTCGTCGGCTTCCGAATCTGGCTGCGGCAGCGGCTCCCCGATGCAGTTGATCGAGCAGGTCGTCGAGCAGCCGCCGGAGGATTGCTGACCGCGGTGCCGCGGGAATTCTTCACGAAGGTTTTGTCTGAATGCGACGGGCGCGTGTTGACCGGTTTCGTTTCCAGTCTTCGACTGAATGAATCCCGCAATCGCCCCCATTGTCGTGACATTGAGGCAGCGGTCGAGGATGGCGTCTGGGGAGTAACAGGGGCGTGGCCGATGTGCGTGCACAGGCAGTCGTTCGGTTCGCTCGCAGAGGTCGGCATGGGAAAATCGCTCTTGAGGGGCGGCCTTCGGCCTGGGATAAATTTGTGTTTCGGGCAAGACGAGAGGCAGTCGGGTTTTATTTCGCAGGGGCGATGTTCGGAATGCGCGTCGGCTACCCCTGTTAAAGCGATGTGGTATCGCAGGGTCGAGGGGGTCGGCCGGCCTCGTGCGCTCCGCATGCCTGCGCGATGCGGCGCGCGGATGTCTGCAAACGCGCCCTTTGAAGTGTTCGCGCGGCGCGCGTCGAGCATCGGGGAATGTCGGCGTCTCGCACGTGGCCAGGAGTGGGCGGATGCTCTTGCATCTTCTCACCGTGGCGATGACGCGTCCGTCATTGCGCAAGAGTCATGCACGCTGCGCGGCACTGGCGGGGGCGATTCTTATCGCCAGGTGTTTACTGGTAGAACGCGCCTTGCGATTGCGCGCTGGCTGGGCAAGTGGAAGGGGAACTCTTGGTTCTAGAAGCGTCTGGGTGAGTGGTGCAACGTAGGGTTGGGGGGATATGGGTAGCTCTGAAGCCGCAATTTTTGGAGTAGTGCCCGGCCACGCGGGCGGTGGATAGAGCAATGCAGGCGCTGTCGCAGGCGAGCGGGGCTTCCAAAAAACGCCGCCGTAAGTGGGCGCCAAGAACGTGCGCAGGAGCCAATCGTAGACGAATGCGAGCGGCAGAGGACCCGCAGGCGAGAAGCGTGTATGTAGTCACGCCAAAGTATGCATGCACAGTTGCACTGTCAGCGTTGCTCTTTTTCGACCGGTTCCACGCAGTCCGTCTCGCGACGAGGTCGCCGGCGCGTTGCAGCGCCAAATGGGTTGCAGTTGCCCCTCGGCCGCGGGGCGCAAGGGGCGCGCGCCAAAGAATGCATGCGCAGCGTAGTCGGATTGCACGCGCTGGCAGTTTGAAACCAACGGTTTTGCGCGCCCCAGGCTCGCCAGCAGGAAGTGTTGTAATTGGCGCCCAACTTGGTTGCGCGGTGGCCTCGCTGCTCGCGACGCCGTCGCTGATAGCTTGAATTTATGCTTCTGCATGGCGGACATGTAAAAGACAGGAATTTGGGATCAGAGCAAGGCGCGGCATCGAACGAGCGAAAGAAGCATGGGCGTTGAGAAACGAGGGGCGGGCATCAGCTTAAACGCAGGAAGCGCCGACCAGTGCATTTCGAGACTCTCTAGGGCTGCCTGGCTGCATCGTTTTTCTTGCGGTCGGGAGCTCTAGCTCGTGCCTTTTGTCGCCACGAGGCTGCCACGAGGCTGGCACTGGCATGCCCCGTTGCATGAACTGATGCAAGTGCCGCCAGACGTGCTCACGAGACTGGTAGAGGCGCACAAGAGTTTCAAGATGAACGCGAGTCGTCAAGAGTACGCTGACGCAGAAGGACGGAGGAGGAGGAAACCGGAGGTGGAAAAGGCGCGGCCCACGCGCCAGGAAACGACGGATTTGGTCGCGGCGCCGGAGTTCTTACACAACGGCCCCCCCTGCAAATCGACGGGCGACATTTCTGGGCGCCCGAAATGGGCACGGAAAGAATGGGTACGATGCCCAACAGCAGTTCCTGTTCATTTTGAACAGGGTTCGCTGTCCACGCCGCCGCGGCCTGAGTCCATTCGAGACAGAAGGCCGTCTGCCGAACAGCGGCCGCTGTTTGTTGTTTGGGGCAACATTTGTTGTTGGGCATTTTGCCCATGTTTTCCGCGCCCATTTCGGGCGCCCAAAACATTGCGAAGCGCGCGCCAGACTCTGGGGGGGGCAGAACACGGGGAGAAGGTAAGCGAGGATGGGCGAACGCGGCTGCAGGAGTACCTGGGCGTCTGGGTGCAAAAGGGGCAGGAGTTTCGATAGAACCGCGTGCACCAGTGGTGCAAGCGTTTGCAGCGCGTGGTGCCGTTGGCTCATTGTCAGAGAAAAGACGACGTGACGCAGTGCAAAAGCTTTTTCCCGCGCGCGTCGTGGCCGATAGATCGCGCAGTGGTGTTGCGCCGGGGCTTTTTAAAGAGCCGTGACGTGCCGCGCGCAGGGAGATGGAACATGACAGGGTGCTTGCGCGGGCCCATGAACGAGGATAACCTGAACGGCGCGCTGCCAGCGATGCTATGCAGACCCCGCACAGGTCCCCCGTGACGGAATCCACTCACGATAGTTGTGTGCGAAGAGCGGCGCTGGGAGACGGATCGCCGGATAGACATGGTTCTGGCACCGCAGCGAGCGCAGAATGCAGCGGCGGGGTACGCGGCGGACTATCAGTGCAAACGGTGTGCCCCGTCGTTCAACGAGGTGAGGGAGATCAAGGATGGCCGCCGCGCGCTGGCGGAGCAGACGAAGGACGGGGCCGCGGCGCACCGCGCGAACAGGCACATGAAGAGGTTCCTCAGTGACATGCACGGGAGAGGCGTGGCGCGGTCAGCGCAGGAATGCGCGACTACGCGAGCGTACAGGGACCCGAGGGACGTGACCTGCGCCGATAGTATCAAGACTGCGAAGCCAGCCACGATCCTGGGAGCAGAAGCCGCGCGCATGGCGGAGCAGCTCTGTCCTGATGGCGACGGTGTGGCCGTAGCAGCGTCGGGAAATTTGGAAGCGGACGGGAGAGAAGGGTAGAAAAAAGGTTCGAATTTCGTCGAAGAGTCCGGTGTACTTGCATGGCACGCGCCCGGTGGACGCTCCTGGTGCGCCCGACTTGGCACATTCATATTTGTATGAGTTGTTGCGATACTGGCGCATAGAGTTGGCGGCATTTCCACGCAGCGGAGCAGAGATGGCAGCTGCGGCCAGCAATGAGTACCAGGCGGAGCTGACGCTGTCCAGGATTCAGAAGGTCTGCGAAGCGGACCAAGAGAGAGCGGATGCGGTCGAAGGCTGGGCGCAGGCGGGGGCCCACTTGAATGCCGGAGTGGATTATGTTATTAAAGAAGGATGCGGGAGTTATTCGTGGGTTCTTTTCCCGGATGCTCCAGAGTTGGAAACTCTGAGGCACGCGTGGGTGTTGGCGCGGAACGAGCGCCCGAGGTATCCGAGCTTTCATGGAGCGCCGCAGCCGAAGCACGGAGCGGGGGAGGGGATAGGAACGGGCTCCTGTTGATGGTATATTTTCGGGCGATCACTCTGCGTGACGACGTGGATTGTGGAGTGCCGCGCCTGCGGGATTTCCGAGGAACGCATGCATCGTGGGCAGAGGCCTCGTTGGTGTGGCTGCAGAAAGGCATGCCGTGTGAGGGGGCGAAGAGGTACGTGCAGAACTACATGGGCGCGGTGGACTTGCGGCCCGCCACGGGCGAAGACTTCGCGAAGCACGAGGACGAGCTGTACAGCGACGAGGAGTTGGGCCCGAGAATCGTGGTTGCGGTGGCGAGGCGGAGGACGCACGCGGGGGGGGGCGTCCATGGAGAAAGAGGACAGGCGGGCAAACGCAGTTGCGGAGTCCGAGAAAGCCAAATGCCGGGAGGCAATGGCAAGGGGCGACGCCGCGCGGGGCGAGAATCTGAGTCGAAAGAGCGGAAAGCGCAAGAAGCGCGGAGATGACGGCAGTTTGAAGCGGGGTGACGCGGCAGCGCAGAGAGCGCAGGCGGCGGCGGCGGCGTTGAGAGCCGCAGAAGTAAGCGGCGCGGGGGAAGCGGAGAGCGCCCAGGGGGCGGTGGCGGGAAGACAGGCCGCGGCGTCGAGCGTGCGGACGTGGAGAAGCGGTCTTTCGGATGACGGCTTGAACGCGGGTCAGCGCAGCGTCGTTGAGAAGGTGGCAGATCGGGTGTTGGCGCAGGAGTTCGCGGGGCTCGCGAGGAGGGGCAGGAGGACAGGCCAGAGTCGTTCAGGTATGCAGCCCCTCGTGTGGTTGTTGCATGGTGGTCAGGGACTGGGAAGAGTTTCGCCATGGACAAAATGCGGGAGGAACTGTTCGAGAAAGAGATGGGGTGGACGCGTGGCATAGACTTCCAGGTGGCCGCTTTGCAGGCGACGAACGCATCAGCGCTCGACGGGGTTACAAGCCGCAGTGCATTCGGAATCGGTGTGAACAACACGAAGGGGCCGCATGGGGGAGGCGATGCAAGCGCAGAGTCGAAGAAGAAGACGAACAGGGAATTGGCTGCGCAGCGTATGTCACAGTGGAAGTGGCTGCTAGTGGACGAGGTGAGCATGGCCAGCGCAAGCTTCATTGCATAGCTCGATTCGCACTTGCGGTCGTGCATGTCAGCTGCGAGTGACACAAAGGTACGTGGAGACGGCGTGCCCAGGCCCTTCGGGGGCGTGAATGTGTTGTTCTGCGGGGATTTCTATCAACTGGAACCGCCGTCGGGGACGGCCATTGATGCGCTTCCCACGTCGTATTTGAAAAGCGCCAGGAAGTGCGCGCCAGGTGCCACGGAGGACCACGGGCAGTATATACGTTGGGGCGCTGGAGACGAAGGGGCAGCGCAGGGGGTGACAGAGTTGACGGAGTGCAAGCGCGTGGAAGACCAAGACGATTGGTTTCTCGCAGTGCAGGGCGAGTTTTGTCGAGGAGCGTTATCTGAACGCACGCGCAATTTTTCGCATGGCAGGCCGACCGATGCGCCGGGGTCGTGGGTGAACGGTGCACCGTTGTGTGGGAACGCGCGTTGTGTAGCAGACGCAGCGGCACTTGCGAAGCAGAACGGGCTAGAGTGTGAGAAATGCAGAGTTGAGCGAGAGAAGAGGAAGCTCGTCGCGACGTCGCCAGAAGATGCGCGATGTCGGGAGGGAAGATTCCTTGAAGCCGTCGCCATTTGTGCGAATCAGGACATTCGTTGTCGCGTTGGGAAACAGAGGGCAGTGCAGTGGACCAAGGGGCGAGGGGGGCCTTGCCAATGCCTTCGCAGACGTTCTCGCTTTCAGCCGGACCGCACACAATCAGAGTCGTGGTTGATTCTCTCGACGGTCTGTACCACAATGACGCCTTCTTCCAGATCTCATTCGGCAAAAGCAGCCCGACGTGTGGCGGGTGCACTTGCTCGGCGTCGACGCCCAGCCCGACGCCCTTCCCGACCCCGTATCCGACGCCTTACCCGACGCCCTACCCGACGCCCCACCCGACGCCCTATCCGACGCCCTACCCGACGCCCTATCCGACGGCGTACCCGACGCCCTACCCCACGCCCTACCCGACACCTTATCCGACGTCCTTTCCGACGCCCTACCCGACGCCCTTCCCGACGCCCTTCCCAACGGCCTTCCCAACGGCCTTCCCGACGCCCTTCCCGACGCCCTTCCCGACGGCATTCCCCACGCCCAGCCCGACGCCCAGCCCGACGTATCCTCCTGGCTGGCCGACGCCGCATCCGACGTTTCCTTCCGGAGCTCCCATGGCGGGTGGAGCCGGCGGTGCGGCTGCCACTGGCGATCCCCACCTGCAAAACGTTCTTGGTCAGCGGTTCGATTTGATGAAGCCGGGCAAGCATATTCTGGTGAACATCCCTCGCGGAAGACAGACGGGCGCATTGCTTCGCGTTGAGGCCGATGCGCGCCAATTGGGTGGACAATGTGCAGATATGTACTTCCAAGAATTGAATGTTACAGGGGCCTGGGCAGAGGTAAAACAGGCTGGAGGTTATCACTACGTCGCGTCGCAGCGTGCCGTCGGGACTCCAGAGTGGGTTGCTTTTGGTAAGCTTGAGATGAAAGTCGTCCATGGAAGCACGCAAAGTGGTCTCCCATACTTGAACTTCTACGCCAAGCATTTAGGGCGAACAGGGTTTGCAGTCGGAGGCCTCCTGGGAGAAGACGATCACGCCGACGCAACCATTCCTATGGCAGAGTGTAAAGGGCACGTATCCCTTTGAGGGTTCAAGTCGGCAGCAGCTTCGCTGTAGCACTGTAGCCAGCTTCGAAGGGCAGCGGTGCACTTCTGCTCCTATGCAAGAAAAAACTGGCAAACTGACTCCAGGACCTCCCAACACGATCCCAGAGGCATCGGACACGGGCCAAGAGCATTCCAGGACGCCCAAGGCGGCTCCAAGTAGCCCCAGGGGCCCCCAAGACGCTTCAAGGCGCTCCCAGAGGGCCCCCCAGGGGGGCCCGCGAGGGGCAAACCTTTGATGTTCCATCGTTGTTTGTAAGATGTTTGTCTTCCCGCCTGCTCGGCCCACGAACCCTCCAAGGCGGTCCAAGAGGGTTCAACGTCTATCCCAGACTGCTTCAGAGCCCCCCCCAGCGGCCCGCGATCCTTCCCCTCCAGAGCTGCTGCCCAGAGGCCAGGGGCGCCCGCTATAGTGATGGTCCGCGTGGGACGTACCTGCGCTGGGCATCCCAGGAGGCCACGAAACTGGCTGCGCAGATCGCAAGCCCCCCATGGGGGCGGCGAGGTACAGAGGTGATCCGCGTGGGACGTACCTCCGCTGGGCCTCCCAGCAGCCCACGAAAGTGGCGACAGTTGCGCAGATCGCAAGCCCCCCCCAGGGGCAGCCACCCAGGGCACCGCGAGCTATAGTGGTGGTCCGCTTGGAACGTACCTCCGCTGGGCATCCCAGGAGGCCACGAGACTGGGGACAGTTGCGCAGATCGCAAGCTCCCCGGGGGGCGGCGAGGTACTGAGGTGACCCGCGTGGGACGTACCTCCGCTGGGCCTCCCAGGAGCCCACGAAAGTGGCGCCTTGCGCGGATCGCAGACGGCACGAGAGAAGAGGAGAGGGGAACACAGGAACCAGGAGAGACGGCGGGGGGAGGAGAGGGGAGGAGGAGGAAGGACGAGGCGACCACTGCTCTATTCAAAACGAGAACCCAACACAGGAGGCAGACTGACTCCAGGACCCCTCTGCACGATCCCAGAGGCATCGGACACGGGCCAAGAGCATTCCAGGACGGCCCAAGGTGGCTCCAAGTAGCCCCAGGGGCCCCCAAGGCGCTTCAAGGCGCTCCCAGAGGGCCCCCCCAGGGGGGCCCGCGAGGGGCAAACCTTTGATGCTCCATCGTTGTTTGTAAGATGTTTGGTTTCCCGCCTGCTCGGCCCACGAACCTTCCAAGGCGGTCCAAGAGGGTCCAACGTCTATCCCAGACTGCTTCAGAGCTCCCCCCAGCGGCCCGCGATCCTTCCCCTCCAGAGCTGCTGCCCAGAGGCCAGGGGCGCCCACGGCGGGCAACGCGGCTCCTCCGTAGCCAGCTTGGCACACACATCGAACTGTTGTGTTGACTTGCGCACGCGCGCAACCGTCTGGTCCTCTCGAGCTCACGTTACTTCCTCTCGTCCAGTTTGCTCGGATGGCGGCGTCTGGGATGGTCTGGTCTCTCGTGCTTCTCGGGCTGCCAGGCGCGTCCTGCATGCAGCTGGCGACGAGCAGCTGGCGCGAGCATCTGGCCGCCAACACGACGTCCGCGCAGTCGAAGCGGGCGGAGTGCAGCGCGTGGCAGGTGGGTCAAGGCTGCTGCACGCCACTGGGAGACACCGCATCTTCGTGGTCGTTCGCTTCGCATGGCGCGCATGGCACTTGGTCAAGCACCCCAGCGTTCATCCGCTTCGACTTCCAGGACGATACGATCTGCGGTGGCGTGGCGACTGCCAGGCAACACGGGGACGCAGTTCTCACTTTGAACGACGCTTCGCCCATCGACCTGACCCTTTCGATGACGGGCGTGGCGGAGGCCCAGTACGAGAGATTCCAGCTGTACGTGGACGACGTCTTGCGCGTCACGGTGCAAGCTACAAACGGCCACGGAGGCAGCGCATGCTATGTCAGCACTTGCATCATGTGCGATGTCAACATGCCTTCGCAGACGTTCTCGCTTTCAGCCGGGCCGCACACAATCAGAGTCGTGGTTGATTCTCTCGACGGTCTGTACCACAATGACGCCTTCTTCCAGATCTCATTCGGCAAAAGCAGCCCGACGTGTGGCGGGTGCACTTGCTCGGCGTCGACGCCCAGCCCGACGCCCTTCCCGACTCCGTATCCGACGCCTTACCCGACGCCCTACCCGACGCCCCACCCGACGCCCTATCCGACGCCCTACCCGACGCCCTACCCGACGGCGTACCCGACGCCCTACCCCACGCCCTACCCGACACCTTATCCGACGTCCTTTCCGACGCCCTACCCGACGCCCTTCCCGACGCCCTTCCCAACGGCCTTCCCAACGGCCTTCCCGACGCCCTTCCCGACGCCCTTCCCGACGGCATTCCCCACGCCCAGCCCGACGCCCAGCCCGACGTATCCTCCTGGCTGGCCGACGCCGCATCCGACGTTTCCTTCCGGAGCTCCCATGGCGGGTGGAGCCGGCGGTGCGGCTGCCACTGGCGATCCCCACTTGCAAAACGTTCTTGGTCAGCGGTTCGATTTGATGAAGCCGGGCAAGCATGTTTTGGTGAACATCCCTCGCGGAAGACAGACGCGCGCATTGCTTCGCGTTGAGGCCGATGCGCGCCAGTTGGGTGGACAATGTGCAGATATGTACTTCCAAGAATTGAATGTTACAGGGGCCTGGGCAGAGGTAAAACAGGCTGGAGGTTATCACTACGTCGCATCGCAGCGTGCCGTCGGGACTCCAGAGTGGGTTGCTTTTGGTAAGCTTGAGATGAAAGTCGTCCATGGAAGCACGCAAAGTGGTCTCCCATACTTGAACTTCTACGCCAAGCATTTAGGGCGAACAGGGTTTGCAGTCGGAGGCCTCCTGGGAGAAGACGATCACGCCGACGCAACCATTCCTATGGCAGAGTGTAAAGGGCACGTATCCCTTTGAGGGTTCAAGTCGGCAGCAGCTTCGCTGTAGCACTGTAGCCAGCTTCGAAGGGCAGCGGTGCACTTCTGCTCCTATGCAAGAAAAAACTGGCAAACTGACTCCAGGACCCCCCAGCACGATCCCAGAGGCATCGGACACGGGCCAAGAGCATTCCAGGACGCCCAAGGTGGCTCCAAGTAGCCCCAGGGGCCCCCAAAACGCTTCAAGACGCTCCCAGAGGGCCCCCCAGGGGGGCCCGCGAGGGGCAAACCTTTGATTATCCATCGTTGTTTGTAAGATGTTTTTTGTTCCCGCCTGCTCGGCCCACGAACCTTCCAAGGCGGTCCAAGAGGGTTCAACGTCTATCCCAGACTGCTTCAGAGCCCCCCCCCCAGCGGCCCGCGATCCTTCCCCTCCAGAGCTACTGCCCAGAGGCTAGGGGCGCCCGCTATAGTGATGGTCCGCGTGGGACGTACCTGCGCTGGGCATCCCAGGAGGCCACGAAACTGGCTGCGCAGATCGCAAGCCCCCCAGGGGGCGGCGAGGTACCGAGGTGATCCGCGTGGGACGTACCTCCGCTGGGCCTCTCAGCAGCCCACGAAAGTGGCGACAGTTGCGCAGATCGCAAGCCCCCCCCCAGGGGCAGCCACCCAGGGCACCGCGAGCTATAGTGGTGGTCCGCTTGGGACGTACCTCCGCTGGGCATCCCAGGAGGCCACGAGACTGGGGACAGTTGCGCAGATCGCAAGCCCCCCCGGGGGGCGGCGAGGTACTGAGGTGACCCGCGTGGGACGTACCTCCGCTGGGCCTCCCAGGAGCCCACGAAAGTGGCGCCTTGCGCGGATCGCAGACGGCACGGGAGAAGAGGAGAGGGGAACACAGGAACCAGGAGAGACGGCGGGGGGGAGGAGAGGGGAGGAGGAGGAAGGATGAGGCGACCACTGCTCTATTCAAAACGAGAACCCAACACAGGAGGCAGACTGACTCCAGGACCCCTCTGCACGGTCCCAGAGGCATCGGACACGGGCCAAGAGCATTCCAGGACGGCCCAAGGTGGCTCCAACTAGCCCCAGGGGCCCCCAAGGCGCTTCAAGGCGCTCCCAGAGGGCCCCCCCAGGGGGGCCCGCGAGGGGCAAACCTTTGATGTTCCATCGTTGTTTGTAAGATGTTTGGTTTCCCGCCTGCTCGGCCCACGAACCTTCCAAGGCGGTCCAAGAGGGTCCAACGTCTATCCCAGACTGCTTCAGAGCTCCCCCCAGCGGCCCGCGATCCTTCCCCTCCAGAGCTGCTGCCCAGAGGCCAGGGGCGCCCACGGCGGGCAACGCGGCTCCTCCGTAGCCAGCTTGGCACACACATCGAACTGTTGTGTTGACTTGCGCACGCGCGCAACCGTCTGGTCCTCTCGAGCTCACGTTACTTCCTCTCGTCCAGTTTGCTTGGATGGCGGCGTCCGGGATGGTCTGGCCTCTCGTGCTCCTCGGGCTACCAGGCGCGTCCTGCATGCAGCTCGCGACGAGCAGCTGGCGCGAGCATGTGGCCGCCAACGCGACGTCCGCGCAGTCGAAGCGGGCGGAGTGCAGCGCGGGGCAGGTGGGCCAAGGCTGCTGCACGCCACTGGGAGATACCGCGTCTTCGTGGTCGTTCGTTTCGTATGGCGCGCATGGCTCTTGGTCCAGCACCCCAGCGTTCATCCGCTTCGACTTCCACGACGATACCATCTGCGGTGGCGTGGCGAATGCCAGGCAACACGGGAGCGCAGTTCTCACCTTGAACGACGCTTCGCCCATCGACCTGACCCTTTCGATGACCGGCGTGGCGGAGGCCCAGTTCGAGAAATTTCAGTTGTACGTTGACAACGTCCTGCGCACCACGGTGCAAGCTACAAACGGCCACGGAGGCAGCGCATGCTATGTCCTGCCACTTGCATCATGTGCGATGTCAACATGCCTTCGCAGACGTTCTCGCTTTCAGCCGGGCCGCACACAATCAGAGTCGTGGTTGATTCTCTCGACGGTCTGTACCACAACGACGCCTTCTTCCAGATCTCATTCGGCAAAAGCAGCCCGACGTGTGGCGGGTGCACTTGCTCGGCGTCGACCCAGCCCGACGCCCTTCCCGACTCCGTATCCGACGCCTTACCCGACGCCCTACCCGACGCCCCACCCAACGCCCTATCCGACGCCCTACCCGACGCCCTATCCGACGGCGTACCCGACGCCCTACCCCACGCCCTACCCGACACCTTATCCGACGTCCTTTCCGACGCCCTACCCGACGCCCTTTCCGACGCCCTTCCCTACGGCCTTCCCGACGCCCTTCCCGACGCCCTTCCCGACGGCATTCCCCACGCCCAGCCCGACGCCCAGCCCGACGTATCCTCCTGGCTGGCCGACGCCGCATCCGACGTTTCCTTCCGGAGCTCCCATGGCGGGTGGAGCCGGCGGTGCGGCTGCCACTGGCGATCCCCACCTGCAAAACGTTCTTGGTCAGCGGTTCGATTTGATGAAGCCAGGCAAGCATGTTTTGATGAACATCCCTCGCGGAAGACAGACGGGCGCATTGCTTCGCGTTGAGGCCGCTGCGCGCCAATTGGGTGGGCAATGTGCAGATATGTACTTCCAAGAATTGAATGTTACAGGGGCCTGGGCAGAGGTAAAACAGGCTGGAGGTTATCACTACGTCGCGTCGCAGCGTGCCGTCGGGACTCCAGAGTGGGTTGCTTTTGGTAAGCTCGAGATGAAAGTCGTCCATGGAAGCACGCAAAGTGGTCTCCCATACTTGAATTTCTTACGCAAACATTTTGGGCGATCAGGGTTTGCAGTCGGAGCCTCTGGGAGATGTCGATCACGGCCGACGCAACCATTCCTATGGCGAGTGTAAAGGGAACGTATCCTTTGGAGGGTTCAAGTCGGCAGAGCTTCGTGTAGCACTGTAGCCAGGCTTCGAAGGGCAGCGGTGTTTGAACCCTGCTCCTATGCAAGAAAATACTGGCAAACTGAACTCCAGGAACCCCCCAGCACGATCCCAGAGGCATCGGACACGGGCCAAGAGCATTCCAGGACGCCCAAGGTGGCTCCAAGTAGCCCCAGGGGCCCCCAAAACGCTTCAAGACGCTCCCAGAGGGCCCCCCAGGGGGGCCCGCGAGGGGCAAACCTTTGATTATCCATCGTGGTTTGTAAGATGTTTGTTTTCCCGCCTGCTCGGCCCACGAACCTTCCAAGGCGGTCCAAGAGGTTTCAACGTCTATCCCAGACTGCTTCAGAGCCCCCCCCAGCGATCCTTCCCCTCCAGAGCTGCTTTCCAGAGGCTAGGGGCGCCCGCTATAGTGATGGTCCGCGTGGGACGTACCTCCGCTGGGCATCCCAGGAGGCCACGAAACTGGCTGCGCAGATCGCAAGCCCCCCAGGGGGCGGCGAGGTACCGAGGTGATCCGCGTGGGACGTACCTCCGCTGGGCCTCTCAGCAGCCCACGAAAGTGGCGACAGTTGCGCAGATCGCAAGCCCCCCCCCAGGGGCAGCCACCCAGGGCACCGCGAGCTATAGTGGTGGTCCGCTTGGGACGTACCTCCGCTGGGCATCCCAGGAGGCCACGAGACTGGGGACAGTTGCGCAGATCGCAAGCCCCCCCGGGGGGCGGCGAGGTACTGAGGTGACCCGCGTGGGACGTACCTCCGCTGGGCCTCCCAGGAGCCCACGAAAGTGGCGCCTTGCGCGGATCGCAGACGGCACGGGAGAAGAGGAGAGGGGAACACAGGAACCAGGAGAGACGGCGGGGGGGAGGAGAGGGGAGGAGGAGGAAGGATGAGGCGACCACTGCTCTATTCAAAACGAGAACCCAACACAGGAGGCAGACTGACTCCAGGACCCCTCTGCACGGTCCCAGAGGCATCGGACACGGGCCAAGAGCATTCCAGGACGGCCCAAGGTGGCTCCAACTAGCCCCAGGGGCCCCCAAGGCGCTTCAAGGCGCTCCCAGAGGGCCCCCCCAGGGGGGCCCGCGAGGGGCAAACCTTTGATGTTCCATCGTTGTTTGTAAGATGTTTGGTTTCCCGCCTGCTCGGCCCACGAACCTTCCAAGGCGGTCCAAGAGGGTCCAACGTCTATCCCAGACTGCTTCAGAGCTCCCCCCAGCGGCCCGCGATCCTTCCCCTCCAGAGCTGCTGCCCAGAGGCCAGGGGCGCCCACGGCGGGCAACGCGGCTCCCTCGTAGCCACTTGGACACCATCGAACTGTTTGTGTTGACTTGCGCACAGCGCGCCAGCCGCTGGTCCTCTCGAGCTCACGTTCCTTCCCTCTCGTCCTCAGTTTGCTTCGGATGGCGGCGTCTGGGGATGGTCTGGTCTCTCTCGTGCTTCTCGGCTGCCAGGCGCGTCTGCATGCACGCTTGGCGACGATCGCTGGCGCGAGCATCCGGCCGCCAACACGACGTCCCGCGCATTCGACGCGGGCGGAGTGCAGCGCGTGGCAGGTGGTCAAGGCTGCTGCACGCCACTGGGAGACACGCGTCTTCGTGGTCGTTCGCGTTCGCATGGCGCGCATGGCACTTGGTCCAAGCACCCCAGCGTTCATCCGCTCGACTTTCCAGGACGAATACGATCTGTTCGGTGGCGAGGCGGACTGCCAGGCACACGCGAGCAGCAGTTCTCACCTTGAACGACGCTTCGCCCATCGACTTGACCCTTGCGATGACAGGCGTCGCGGAGGCCCAGTACGAACAATTTGATCTTAATGTTGACAATGTCCTGCAGGTCTCGGTGCAAGCTACAAACGGCCACGAGCAGCGCATGCCTATTCACCTTGCATCATGTGCGTGTTCAACATGCCTTCCGCAGACGTTCTCGCTTTCAGCCGGCCGCATAAATCAGAGTCGTGTTGATTCTCTCGACGGTTTGTACCACAATGACGCCTATCCGCTCTTCCAGATCTCCTTCGGCAAAAGCAGCCCGACGTGCGGCGGGTGCACTTGCTCGGCGTCGACGATGTCTCCGACCCCGTATCCGACGCCCTACCCGACGCCCAACCCGACGGCCTACCCGACGCCCTATCCGACGCCATACCCCACGCCCAACCCGACGCCCTTCCCGACGCCGTTCCCGACGCCATTCCCGACGCCCTACCCCACGCCCTACCCCGAGACCTATCCGACGTCCTTTCCGACGCCCTACCCGCGCCTTCCCGACGCCCTTCCAAAGGCCTTCCCAACGGCCTTCCGACGCCCTCCCTGACGCCCTTCCCGACGGCATTCCCCCGCCCAGCCCGACCCCAGCCCCCGACGTATCCTCCTGGCTGGCGCGACGCCGCATCGACAGTTTCCTCCGAGCTCCCATGGCGGGTGGAGCCGGCGGTGCGGCTGCCACTGGCGATCCCCACCTGCAAAACGTTCTTGGTCAGCGGTTCGATTTGATGAAGCCGGGCAAGCATGTTTTGGTGAACATCCCTCGCGGAAGACAGACGCGCGCATTGCTTCGCGTTGAGGCCGATGCGCGCCAATTGGGTGGACAATGTGCAGATATGTACTTCCAAGAATTGAATGTTACAGGGGCCTGGGCAGAGGTAAAACAGGCTGGAGGTTATCACTACGTCGCGTCGCAGCGTGCCGTCGGGACTCCAGAGTGGGTTGCTTTTGGTAAGCTTGAGATGAAAGTCGTCCATGGAAGCACGCAAAGTGGTCTCCCATACTTGAACTTCTACGCCAAGCACTTAGGGCGAACAGGGTATGCAGTCGGAGGCCTCCTGGGAGAAGACGATCACGCCGACGCAACCATTCCTATGGCAGAGTGTAAAGGGCACGTATCCCTTTGAGGGTTCAAGTCGGCAGCAGCTTCGCTGTAGCACTGTAGCCAGCTTCGAAGGGCAGCGGTGCACTTCTGCCTCCTATTGCAAGAAAAACTGCAAACTGACTCCAGGACCCACCCATGCACGATCCCAAGGCATCGGAACACGGGCCAGAGCTTCCAGGACGCCAAGGTGGCTCCAAGTAGCCCAGGGGCCCCCAAACGCTTCAAGAACGCCTCAGACGGCACCCCCAGGGGGCCCCGCGAGGGCAAACCTTTTGATTATCACTGTTTTTTGTAATATGTTTTTTTTTCCCGCCTGCTCGGCCCACAACCTTCCAAGGAGTCCGAGTGGGTCCAACGTCTATCCCAGACTGCTTCAGAGCCCCCCCCAGCGGCCCGCGATCCTTCCCCTCCAGAGCTGCTTTCCAGAGGCCAGGGGCGCCCGCTGTAGTGATGGTCCGCGTGGGACGTACCTGCGCTGGGCATCCCAGGAGTCCGCGAAACTGGCTGCGCAGATCGCAAGCCCCCCAGGGGGCGACGAGATACCGAGGTGATCCGCGTGGGACGTACCTCCGCTGGGCCTCTCAGCAGCCCACGAAAGTGGCGACGGTTGCGCAGATCGCAAGCCCCCCCAGGGGCAGCC